GATAGGTGTCGTCAAAAATGGTTTGGTTTTGCCACTCGGGGTAATCGACTCGTCGGAAATAGGGTGGGCTTCCGATGCACCGATAGAAATGAGAGCATTTCGGGTCATTTGGGTCCCGGAAAAAGCCCTCTTTCGTACACTTTCCCATAGTTTGTGGTGTTGTGCTCGCAATGGTTGTTGGCTTTGGACTCGTATTTGTAGGAACTGTAGTCAATTTAGTTGTGGTAGAGGTTGTTGGGGTTGTAGTTGGGATTGTGGTGGGAGTTGTGGTAGGGTTTGTAGTTGGGGTAGTAGTTGGGGCAGTAGTTGGGGCAGTAGTTGGAGCAGTAGTTGGGGCAGTAGTTGGAGCTGTGGTAGGAGTAGTTGTAGTGTCTAATGTAGTGGGTTTGGTGGGTGCGGGTGTTGGCGAAGGTGTCGGAGCTGTTGGGGTAGTTATGGGAGCAGTTGTCGGGCCTGTTGTTGGCTCTGTTGATGGAGTTTTAACTGCTCTACAGGCGCCAGGTGACACACATACCTGTCCACAAAATAATATTTGGTATTTAAAATAGATAATCAATAGATATAAAGTTTATATTATAATTTATAAACCCACTTTGCCCTGATCACAAGCCGTGAGTCCATCAGTAAAATAAATGGTGTAAACAATTTTGGTTGTATTGAATACAACACAATCCACTCGACACTCATTCATCAGATTCCTTATCACCTGAAATACATTTAATACAAATTATTTCCTATTTAATTGTTAATTATTATTAATATTTGTATTACCGATTTGTCGCTTTCATCTAATTTATTATAATCATATTCCGGGTGATATTTAAGGCACAGTTTGATCCTTTGTTCAGTCGATATTAGATCATCCGATGCTTTGTATAAAAGTTTGTTTTATTATAATAAAAGGTCAACTCTTTTAGTAGATTACTTACCTTGAAACACATCAATGAAATAATCATTAAACTGATTGTTTTTCCATTTATTTTCATTTCTATTTCCGTCTCTTAATTCAGTTGAAAAGTTTGTGACATTATAGACAAAAGTGGTTGAAATGAAGGCAACAAATAAGATATTCAAATAGAAATTCATAATTTGTTTAATGTCTTAATGTCTGACAATGTCTTATGAATAATACCTTTTGATTGATTGCACTCAAGAAAACGTATTCTTATGTTACGTAAACGAAAATATGTGTGACTTTTGAATTGAAAAACAATTATTGATTAGAAACGGATCAACAATTATCAGTACATTTGGGAATTTCTACATTCCTGTTAATAAGTCGATGACTTTCTTAGTTTTAATTTTTATTTTAAAATATACATTTATTCAAATCAATAATTCATTGAGTATATGATGTATATAACTTTAATAAATTACCTCATATTTACTTAAATATAATATTCTTTGATACATTTAATTACGTAAGAAATTGATTTAATTGTTTGTTATATACATTTCAATTGCATGATAATTATTCAACCGATTATCTAATAGTCTTATTTAATAACAGATTATGAACACTTTATTTCACTGAATTGTATTATATTTTTTATTAGACTTTATGGTATATTTCAATCATACAGAAAAATTTATTGATAAATATATTCATCATTATTATAATACTAACTTGATGACAATAATACTTTTTATTGAATTTTTTATATCGTTTATCATGTATCGAGTTATTATAATTGATACAGTTAACTTTAATTAGAAAAATAAATCTTTTGACTAAAACAAGTTTTATACAATTATAATTGTAATTTATTCCTTTGAAATACAATATCAAGAATATTGCTTAATATTTGGTTAAATTAAACATTTAACCCATTTAATTGTCAAATCATTAAAATTAGAAGTAAATCATGAATTAAAATAAAATTGATTTTCAAAAAATCCTTGTGATTTAAAAGTTGCATATTTATATTTAAATAACATATTTTATTTTGTATTTACTGTTATAATGTATAAAATGATATTTAAAATACCGGTATATAAGTATTATATTAGTAATAAATGCATTATGAGAGGGATTAATGAATTGTATGTATAATATAAATGAAATTAGTTTTTATTGGTCCTCTGATTTCCGGCGGTCGGGTGCGACGGGTGTCACCACAAATCGGGGCACATTTTCTGATGGCACAGGGGGTGCAGAGCGGGCCGACGGCCACAGACTGTACGGCGAGTGGTCTGACTGATTGAGGGATCGCCGGAGAAGTAGACTATTTCTGAGTCTCGTCTGTCGGTTCATATCAT